ACCATTATGGTAACAGACTGAACATATCACAAGTTCTCACTTGACCCACATGCTCTTAATAAAAAGTTTTATTTAATTTCTCTGCACACATGGGCTTCTGTTGCAGTTTGCCTTGAGAGAGCTTTGCTTACCTCCTGGAGTCTGGAAAACATTCCTCTGCTCTCTGCACACTAATCTGCTCTGGAGGACCAGAGGTCCTCATCAAACTGCTCTGCCCTGTAATTGTTTCCTAAATGCCTGCTTTCAAAACAAGTCAAAAAGGGAAATAAATGCTTATTCCACCAGAGGTTCTGACATGTAACATTAAACAAGCAAGGCACGGGCAGAATATATAAGTTTCGGGAAGACAATGATGTTAGTATCAGGTTAGCTTTGCTTTCTATTAGATGTCTGTGTATAAACAGGCACGAGACTGGAAAAGGGGAGCAGTTAACCATTTCATGCACAAGCATGACAATCTGCATCTTTTTCACCCACTTAGACACTAGCATTCTAAGAGGGAACCTTATGAACTTCATACCACCTTTCAGAAGAGGATTTCAAAGGGCTTGGCAAATATAGAGTTGCCATCATCATTTCACATCAATTCACCCTTGACTAGAAGGCAGCCTTTTTTTTAATGAGAAATGGAATTACTAGTCTGATAATAACATCTTCAGCATGGTATACGTTACTTTTTCTCAAGTGGTGTACGTGCTATTTGAATTTCCAAGTACTTAAGCTGCACATAGGGAGAGAACCAAAGTGATCCGAGAATTAGTCCCAAGTGTTGTCTGTAAGGATGGGTGAAGATGTATTGAATGTTTGCCTCCATTCTTTAAGTAATAGTAGGATGTCTCAGTCTTTTCATGCTAATTTATTTAAAACCAAAGGAACAAAGGAGACGTCCACACTGGATCTGATGACACTTAGCAATGATTCATAAGTGGAAATTTCCTTTTGGCCCTATTCAGTGACAGATTTGTATTCCATAATGTGAGACTGTACAAAGTGAACAGTTTCTACTACACAGAGCAACAGTACTGTTTATGTAACTATATAATCCATAGTCCTCAAGTGGCAACATGTGCTTCAGTATTACCTTGCTGCTGTAAGTCACCTAGCCCTGTGTTTTGAAAAAAAACCTGAAAGCCCAACATAGCCAGCCTTTTATGAAAGGCCATGGTGGTCTACTAAAGTCAAGAGTGAGGTGAAGAAGGGGCACTGGTAGTCTCCTTCTGACTGTGCTTCTGCCAACCCTGTGCATCACAAGCATGATTTCAGAAAAGACCAACAGCTTTACCAGCATGGACAAGCACCAACTTCATGCCTATGGACTTTCTGTACTTATTTATTCAGGACAGGGAGAATACAGATCTGAACACTGTCACTTCAGATCATCAACAGAAAGGACACAGGCGACATGATAGCTGATAGCTGCATGTCACAACTCATGTAATAAACCTTCAACATAACCATGCAACAAAGCTAACTCTCTTCATAGGTTGTCCACCTCTTCTGATTACCAGCAGCATTTTACACATAATGCAACATTGAATTTGGCCCACTAGGGACTTTTAGCATCTGTCTGGTACCACACACATGACCTTGCAGTCATTCCAGACCAGCCCCAGCAAAACACTTTCCCGTATATGTTGCTTTAAACATATTTGTGATCTAGGGAAGGGAACCACTTGTGCTGAAGTTTGAGCCATCAGTGTAGTGCTTTGCATTCTTACTCCCCACACAGAACGCCCACCAAAGTCATTAGCGGGATGACTGGAGGGCTAATTGCAGTGTTTCAGTTTATAGCGATCCCCTGTGAGACGCAATGCGTGCCTTTAAAAGTGTTGTTCGTTGCACAGAAGTATTTACCACAGTACTCATACTTCAAATGGGAAATAATGCAACTACGGAGACAATACTGCAACTAGTGTGGGTGGTAACCAGCCAATTCTTCTTACACCTACAGCATATTTTGTTCCAGAAGATAATATTAATGCTATTATGGGAATTACGAAATTGCTATAATGGGACCTGATAGGCAATATTGTGTATTTGGAAACTTAAAATAGCAAAAATAGGTATGACCATCCTAAATTTCCACTACAGCTGCTTTTCTTCTTCAATTCAGCCTGCTGTCTCTCTACAGGCTCTCTAGTTTAATGACTGTTCATCCTTTCATGTTAACAGAAAAATACTAACTACTGGATAAGGGAGTGTATGTGTGTACTAGCAAGATCATTAGTCTGAATAAATGTGACAGCAGAGTTGCACGAGAAATGCCACAGTTAGTGGTAAGCACAAACTACAGCTTTGGGTGTAAAACACTGTAATTACAAGGGATGGAGAAAGCTCCACAGTTTTTATCCCCACAGAAATCGATAGTGGTGCAGACTGCTGCTCTTTGCTGGAGCAGGGGCAGTCTGATGAAAGAGCTTATTGATTTATCCAGCTGATGTTGCTGTAGTGAATAACAGACTGGAAGAGAAAGGGCTTGTAAATTAGACTCATTCAATCCAACATTTTCCAGGATATCTTTTATGTACAGCTATATGGACATACATATTTACAAGTGAGCTTTTGTTAAAGCAACAGCCTAGCAACTCCTGGTAAGAGGGTCTGTCTACTAATTCTTTGCCCTTAACTACACCCATGGTGTGAAAGTCAACAGTCAAGCTCTCACTAAAGACTGACACTAAGGAGGAAGTACCAGGGCACCTGGGAGCAGGATTCGGCTATGGTGCAGGTAAGCTAACATATCTCCCGGAGGGCTACGGTCACAGAGGAAAGGTGGCTGCGGCTCCCTCCATGCCACCTGTGCCATGCCAGACCCCCTGGCTTGAAGGCATTGGAAAAGTCTACTGTGGACTCACAGGTCCCCAGGCTAGGAGCAACGTCAGTTCCAGGCCAGTCCCCACCAGCCTCAAATAATGTGAAGAGGCATGGTGTTTTAGGAATGAAAGGAGTCCTGTATTTCTTTCTAGCTCAGCAGGCAGATTTGCTATTTCCGATCCACACCAGCAAAAATGTAAGTGTTCAGACTGGTTTTGCATAAACTGAGAAAGAGAAATAGAGAAAAGCAGAGAGAGGGAGAGAGACAGCAGCAGGCACACTGCCACCAAGTATGGCAAATCAATCTTCTCAGCAGTGATGGATCAGGGAGCAGGACTGTAAGTTTTACAGGTATATGAGACCCCGTGAGTATAAGGACACCATTAAAACACTGCCATTAAATTCCATCACTGAAGGATTATCACGGTCCCTGGAGTCAAGCAGGTCAATGTGTGACTGTACATTTTTCATTACCATTTTTTATATACATATATATGAAGCAGAATATGATTCACAATAGCCTCACCCTCTCTCCTGATGAAGACCTCTGCTTTATACCTAGCATCCACTTTCACAAACAAAATGCAATACACCATCAACAGATAAACGAGACCCCTACAGGGCTTTTATTCTGCCGTACCATTATATCTAATTTTCTACAAGATTTCTGCTTAAATGGCTCTCTTTACACACACACTCAAAGATGATATACATCTGACTAAATATGATCTGATAGTGAAGAGCTCTTCTGTATGGGGAAATGTATCTTTTCTTCCTAATTTACCATAATTACTTATTCAGGCTGCCAGAGGTAGGGATACGTTAGCTTCCCCACTATAAAAGTCACCAAGGTGTTATACAGTAAGATTTTTTTTCTTCTAGCTTTAGAAAAGAAAAAGAGAGGAGCTCTGAATCTCACCTTTCTGTCTTCCCCATAAAAACAAACGTTTAGAGGAATTACAGCTTTATAGGCTGCTGACATCGACTAATAGTTTTTAATGCAATCAAAGTGTTTGTGTGAGCCACAATGAAGAAGCCTTTTTTGTACATCTGGGAAACCTCAGAGCAAATGGCCATGCTGTGCCATAGGGTAGCTCAGAGATCGCTGCCAGCACAACAGCCACCTATATGGCCTATTCAAGAAGCAGACCTATTTATTAGCTAGGAGTGTCACTTCTCTGTCATCATGACTATTTCAGTCAAAGGTAAGCTGCCTCAGAGAGTAAACATTCCTGGCTCCTTTTTCATGAGAGAGCTCAAGGCATTTTATTATCTGGACACATAGATACTGGATAGTTACAGCCACAACTCTTTGGGCAACAGAGAGCAGAGGCTTGACAAAGAAGTACCTCAGAGAGACAGGATGAAATGGAGACAGGTGTATATGAGGATTTTGGCTCAGGTTATTGTGCTAACAAAATGTGAAAGGAAGTTTCAATGAACCAGCAGAACAGAGACCTCATTTTTGAGACAGGATGGGGTGCAAAGATGACTAATTGTTCATCAACATATGTCAGAATCACACTAAAAGCCTACTTTTTTTTTACTTCTCGCTCTTACTAGTCACAAAGGCAGGACCAGGCCTGAATAGGTACAGGTAGAATAGACTTCAGTGCTAGAGCTGATCTTTATGAGGCTGCAGCATGCTGACAAGCGTATATGAAGTTTGCATAGGAACTGCATAGATGCAGGGTACCTCTTTGTATTACAGGGCGTCCAAAATTCAGAAAGGGGCATAACATTTACATGTAGAAACACATGCATCCGCCATTCCTGACAGTAAGAAGCCACGAGCTGATCTGCTTTGTAAAGTTTACTCTTTTGAAAGTTTTGCCCTAAACCCTTTACTTTTCATTTGCATGGCCGTAAGAGTCACTGCCAAGCTTCCTTGGACAAACGCTGAGCTAGTATTAGAGAGAAGGGATGTTTGGTGGGGAGGGCAGGGGGCAGAGGGCTCAGAGTTTCTAATTCTTCACTGCTCAACTTCATAAACCTCAGACAGCATTACATTCATCTTCAGGGAAGAAGAGTGGAGTCCCCAGACTGGTTAGAACTGGATGAACTCATTTCTCCATCCTATAAATGATTCTACGACTTTAAGTCATTGATGCTGATCTGCAGTTTATTGCAGGTTTCTCTGCGGCCACATACATCCCAGACCCCAGAGGCATCACAGCAGCACTTACCCTGCATGCAAAGCCCGTCGGTGCAGTTCTTGGACTGCAGCACCAGCCCTTCGCAGTCCTTCCCCCCATTCTTGGGCGCCGGGGCCGTGCACTCCCTCCGGCGCCAGTGGGTGCACTCCGTGCCACAGGTGGACCACTTGCTCCAGGATGTCCACTTGCCATCCACTGAGACAAGGAAAGCACATGACTTGTTAGGGACTACATAAAGCAACACCAAGCGAGAGCGATGCACCTCTCAGCACAAGCCAGGCTCCAACTCTTGGTCATTCCCTGCAAGGCAGAAGGATCACCAGTCTGCTCTTCTTAAAAAGAGTCAGTCTGCTCTTCTTAAAGTTCAATTTCTGGCCTGTAAGTGCACCTTCACTCTCTCTCTCCTTTCTTTCTGCTCCGGACCCATTTTTGCTCTTTCCTCCCCTTTTTATAAACTCATCAGCAGTTTATCTGTGCTCAAAGTGTACAAGAAAATGAGCAACAAGCCATGAACCTGTGACTTTTTTTTTTTTTTTTGGTATTTTTTAACACAAAGGTTAAAGTTAAACTTGACCAGAAATTCTTCTTTAGTAGGAAGATGTTTAATGTTAAATATTTTCTATTAAAAGAAATACCTAGATGCACCGAGCTATTTCACATGAGCAGAATCGGGAATGTGTTTAGTGTCTTTCATAAACCCGCAAATGATTTTCAAAACCACTAAACTGAACAGCCGAAGAACAAACTATGAAATTGTTCCAGTGACACAGCCTGAGCCAGGAGTCTGTCACTTGGAATAGTGATGAGAGATGAAATTCCATCTCTTCAAGTTTCACCCATCACTAAGACCCAGAGTTGGATGGCCAAGCTTCACAACCTGAAAACGACCTTGCTGCCATCAATTTGAGTGGGACTGCAGAGGTAGGAAAGCACTGGACAACAGGGCAGATGGCAGAACTTTGTCACAGAAAAGCCACCAACTACTTCGCGTGTCTTGAAGCAATTTTGTATTTTTCAGAAGTTTACATTTAAATACCTTTTAAAGGTATGGATACGCATCTCTTTCCAGTATAAACATTGTATTTCAAGTCAGGTAACCACGTGCCTCAAATTTAACATCCACACCGCAGATGCTCCACTTGCTGTGACAGTTGGACTGAGCAGACATTGAAAATGTATTTATATCACAGTTGCTTTCTATATCAAAATTCCAGTCATTTTCCAGAGATTTCAACCTTTATCTCCTACCATTTAAAGCTCTGAATGTCCCCCAAATCCTCCAAATTACCAGGGCTGATACACCAGTGCAAGCTGCATGCAAAAGTGGGTCTGAATCCTCTGCTGCTTGATATAATGTGCTCAGTATTTTATCTACTTACGTAATATAATTTCATATTCATTCAATGAAATGTTGGATTTATTAATAAGGAAAAGGAGGATTTTGCATCTAATAGTGTTCTCCTGAAATGACTGGTGACAGACAAACTATTAATCTAGGGCTATGTACTGTTCATACTGAACCTGGACACAGAGTGGTGCAAGCTATTTTCTGAACGCTCTGGCCCTCGCAGAAGGCACCACCGTTGAGTGGGGCAGGATTGGTGCAGGTCCTCGTACGCTTCTGAAAGCCTCTCCCACATCGGCTGTTACAGACTGACCACTCAGTCCAGGTAGACCAGCCTCCATTCACTGAAAAGCAAGATAGAAAGAGTATGATCACGTAAGCAAGCCACCTTGATTAGCCCAAAGACACCCCTGGCTCTGTGTCATGCTGCCTCCAACAGCAGTCACAAGTGATGGCTGGGAAGAACACAAGAAGCAACCCTGAACAGATACAAACCCATGTCTCCAACGTACTGAATATACACTATGCCAGAAGTCATGATGCAAGAGAAGAAATGCTGATGCTGAATGACAATCGCCATTTCATGACTACTGTGGCTGACCAGTGACCTGTCTTCTCCTGAAAATCAACCTGACCCAGCACTAAGCACCTGGTGGCACGTGTACGGCCAAAATCTCTGTGGATTCAGAGAGCACTCACAGCTCTGCCTACATCTTTTTGTTTCTGCTTTCATCACAGTTACAAAACACAGTGCTCTTGTATGGTTTCTTCCTCAATATCACAAACACTGCTAATCAACTCAATTCAGCTGGTTTTCTATAAAAACTGAACTAAAAGGCCCTCATTGTAACTTCAGGGAAGCAACTGCTTACAATTAAATCTAACTGCTACCCTGAATATGAAATGAATATTAGGGATAATCATAGGGATATTTTCCTACTTGTTTATCCTATAATTAAGCTGATTGTAAGGAACACCAGGACAGTCAGCTGGCACATTGTCAGAGCAGGTTTTGTTCTGGTGGATACCCCTGCCTGGGATGCACTGGGGCATTAACTTTGCAGGGGCAAAGGCTCGGACTGGCGGGGCAAAGCTGCTGCGCAACACAGCCTGGAAGAGACTACAGGAGGACAGCTCATCTGGCCCCTCCCCAGCCAAAGCACAGCCGTCCTCAATATTAGAACAAGGCTATGATGCAGACACAGAATAATGTTATCCCATGCTTTGTATTCCCCTGATGTTTATTTTTAAGCTAGATTGTGTGCCTATGAACTGCAGTCCCAGAGTGCTTTGCTACTTTGCCCCTGACATCAGAGTATATGTTTTGGTAGTAGACACCAAAAATAAGTTTATTTAAAGAGGTATAAGAAAACAGAAGATTCTGCTGTGCTCTGACAATCTTACAGGTATCTGGAAGTACAAACTTCCTTTCACTTTTACTTTTACTTCTGAAAAGCTACACTAAGAATGTGAAATGTGTTGGTACAAACGATGCCTTGGACGCTCCTGCTGGAGGGAGTGACCCGTTGGTCCTTGCTGCATCCAGCTGGAGTGTGTTATGGCAAGGGGAGCAACCGCCTTCTCTTCAGTAAGGCAATTGGCTGTTTATGTAGGTGTCTGTTCCTCCTTTAACACTGTTGTCTGTCACCAATAAGCCAAGCCATCAGAGCTGTATTTCTGAGTATTTTCAGTAATGAACCCTGACTGCAGTCTCTGCATATGGCTGCAAGTCAACAGGCTGCACACGCAGCCAAGCTCAGTCACAGACTGCAGTAAGAGTTGCACACAGGCATTTTGTATCCCCCTCTGGTTCCACCACTTCCTTTGAGTGTGTGTCCATCCCATGCAGCAGGACAAGGCATCACTTACCATAGACAATCACAGTTGCTGTGGTGCTTTTTCTTTTGGCCACAATATTTTTGGCGACACAAGTGTAATTGGCCGTGTCAGAAAGCCGGGCTTGCTTAATGATCAGGTTGTGGTCGATGGTGATGTAAAAATTTCGGTCTTCCACGGGATCAATCACCTCTTCGTTCTTCAGCCACTCCACCTTAGGGTTTCAAAGGGCCAGAGGGGAGGCAGTGAGTCAGCACCAGGTACATCACAACAGGCAAAGTATCTGTGATTACATTGCTCATCTCAGAAAGTGCAAGTGAGTCAAGGCACATCACAAAGGACTCACCTGAGGCACACTGCCAACTGAAATAAACCACCACGGTAGAAAGTAGGGGGAACACCCTTCACGCCCACCCTTTTCTTCAGGTTCCCTTCCCCCCACCCCTCCACACAAAAACTGTCTTGCCTTGCCTGGAAAACAACGCGTTTTCAAAGTCTGCCAGGACTGCACCAAGACAAACAGCTAATATATGTTTTTTAGAGTCTGAGGCATTGGATAAGGAAGGGGTGACACCTTAGGACTGTATCTACAAACAGAAACCCTAAAACAGCAGAGGTCTCACTCATTCCTTTGTACATCTTGTCTAATTAGGCAGTTAATAATGCAGTAACCTTGTATGTACCTGCCCCGGGTCTAACACAATGAGGTCCTATACCAGAGCAGGTCACACTAACAAATTACAAACATGCCAATGTTTTTCATACAGATGCACTCACACACACATGCATGTTATTGTTTGCCTGCAATCAGGATTAAATAAAATAAGAGGCAGTTACCAAGAAAATCATGAAGACTACATCAGTGCTTACTTCTCCCTTTTTTTTTTTAATGTAAGCTATACTTTATTTTAATAAAGCGTAATTTCCTTGGTTACACAGAAAAATATTTTCATATGTGATTTTTAATCTAGACAATGTTCTCTTTATTGCCTTCCTAAAGAAACACCCTATTATATTCCAGATGACTGCTGTAAGCCACCCTAATATAATTTGGCTGCAAATCTAGTAGCTTGTTTTCATTTGAACTGAGCGTGCTCTGAAGGACAGGACTGGGGCCCTGGATGGATCAAAGCCAGACCTTCATGTCACTGGATCACTCCAGCTTGTGCCCGGGATTTAATTAAAGGAAGAAAAACATAAACATAATCAACTCACTGGACCAGCGAGGTGCTAACTGCCAAGACCTGCTCTCACAAACCTCAGTTTTCCAAAGACATTTGAGGAACTGCCTGAGCATCAACATACCCCAAAGCTAACAGAGAACTTGCTCTCCCACCGAGATACATACAGACCGACTCAAGCCGTGGGGAGAAAACTGATGGCCTCTCCTGGTGTTACACACAGAGGGCTCGATTCATTCCCAGGCAGAGCCAGTCCAACGCTGCAAGGCCAGTGCTCGCAGACATGGGCTTGGATTCGAGCTGCCCACCTCCCACTCCCCATCTTTAGCCCTAATTTAAGCAGCTCCAGCTCCCCTACCTCAGTTTGAGTGGATGTGCATCAGGCGTGAGCTGCTTCCAAAGACATACATGTAAAATCACTGCTCCGAGGAAGGCTTGATTTAAACCCTTCTCTCCTATAGTAGACTGCTGCAGTATATGGTAGCCTCACAACTATTGCACTTTATAGCTTAAAACTGGTGGTGCAAAAAGGGCTGTGGAAATGGATATGCATGTCTGCAAGGAACAAGGGAGGAAGAAAAAAAGACAAAACTTTGGAGGTTCTGTTTCTGTCACTACAACATTTATGTTTTACCATGGAAGATACAAGCTTTTAGTCAATAACCTAGTTTTCCTTGCCAGGATGACTACACCTCACCTGCAAGTCAAGTCTGCATGCATCCCAGACTGAAAAACAAGCCAGGAGTTTACCTCTCCCCCACTGGTACACTGCCACTTAAGCATGGCCTCTTGGATAAGCAAAATGTCTTTCTTAAGTTTTAATATTATTATTTATTTCTGGGATGGAGTATAGGCTTGTGTTAGGGCTCTAAAAGGTGCTACATGCACTGCCGCAGCTGTGTACCAACCTTCAAATCCACCTATAGTTTCCCTCTGCTTTGCACATTAAGGACATCAGGATGTCAGTGAGGACAGGACTACAGTCATCCCACGGTCTAAGGCTCAGTCCAAAATGCTTCTGGTATGCCCATCCAAGCACATACTCTAGCAGCCCTCTGCACTATGCAAGGCTCCATGCTCAAGCACGTGGTTCTCTTTTTCCAGCACTCTCCAACACTTCCGCTCTCCGCAAAAACACACAAATGCATATTCAGTCTGGGTCTCAGCTGATCAGACAAAATTAAAGCTATGAGCATTAAATTCCCTTTCATCCCTGCAAAAACACTGAAGATGATATAAAAACAGGAGTTGTCAATATCAGAAAAAAAAAAAAAAAAAGATACTCTGTATAATTCAGTATACTGCCTCTGGTTCTTCACCAAATCTCTTAGAAGAAAGAACTTTTTCACCTAATGACTCACAGAATTTGCTAACAATAAAACATTTATTTTGCAGAACAATACGACATCTTTTTTTTCTGAAAAATCTGTTTTGCAAGGACATTGGTACTGCGTGCATGTCTAAATTCCATCTCTTTTATAAGATGCACCTTTAACATGTTGTCCTGGTTTGGGCTAAATCAGAACTAATTCTGTTTTACTGCTTTAATTTTTCAGTTAAGTCTCCTCTAACTAACGGCACTTTCTGAAACAGCAGCATGTTTTTCCAGACAGTGACTGCTCCCAGCAGTGATAAGGCCTGATGTTTATCGTTTGTACCAAGGAATGGGATGCAGAGAGGCCCTTGCCTCTAGACTTGTTCTTATAGCGACCAAGGTCACTGCTAAATCTTGTACTCCGTGTTGGGGTGCCGGGAGTGAAAAGGGTCACAAGCACAAAAAAGGTCACACCTACAGGGAGGAGTGAACTGGACAGGTGACCCAAACCTGACCAACAGAGTATCCCATCCCATACACGTCTTATTCAACATAAGGCTGAGAGATCATGAGGGTCTCGCTCTCTTC